ACAAAGCTCCCTCTCTCGCTGATTTATTTCACAATTCGAATATATACAACCTCACTCCCCGCGGAAGTCTCCAATATAGATTTCTTGGGTGCCATAATCTCTCTTTATTATCACTTTACAATGCAAAAACTCTTACACATAATAAACAGATGGCAATTATTGAGTTTGTACATACAACGTGTGATCAATAATTTCCAGGAATGAGACTGGATCACGTAAAATATTCAAAATAATGAAATAATTTTATAAGGACCTTATAGGTGAAACCTTTATCAACACGTAGAAAAAAAATTGATCACACAGACGCACGCGCTCACGTCTTTTCGAATTTATAAGCTCGAGTATATCAGAACATTTTCTAACTTCAGTATGGACTGTATTCAAAAACAGCGAGTCTGCATAGAGTTTTGCTTCAAATTAAGGAAAACAGCTTCCGAATCATTTCAAATGTTGAATCAGGCTTTTAAAGAAGATTTCCTATCACAATCAAGGACATTTGAATGGTCCGCACGATTTAAAGCTGGTCGAACAAGCGTCAAGGATGATCTACACACTGGCAGACCTCTAGCGATAAGAAACCCCGAAAATGCACTCAAAGTCAAGTCATCGATCAAAGAAAACCCGAAAATAACTATCGGAGAGCTATCAGAAGACTCGGATATTTATTTTGGAACATTCCAAACCATCATAAAGAATGATCTGCATTTTAAACGATCTCCGGCTAAATTTGTCCCACATCTCTTAACAAATGAGAAGAAAAATCATCGGAAAGAAACGTGCAAAAACATGGTCAAAATGTTTAATTCTTATCCCCATTGGCTCAAATATGTTATCACTGTAGATGGAACATGGGTGTACGGATATGATCCTGAGACTAAGAGGCAATCAAGCCAGTGGCTAGAGCTTGGAGAACCAAGATTCAAGAATGCAAAGATGATAAAATCGAAGCTTAAGTGTCTTCTTATTACTTTCTTTGATATAAAGGGATTGGTACACTATGAATTCGTGCCCGAGATTCAGACCATTAATCAACATTACTATCTTGATGTATTGCGACGTTTAAGGGAGGCTGTGCGTCAGAAACAACCCGAAAAATGGCATAAGAAAAATTGGCTCTTGCATCATGACAACGCACGGCCACATACGGCCGTCACTGTACAACTCTATTTGGCTAAACACGGAATTGCTTTACTACCCCAGCCACCCTTTTCTCCTGACCTTTCTCCCAACGACTTTTCCTTTACCCTGAAATTAAATAAGTCTTAAAAGGACGTCGATTTGACTCAATACCTGAAATAAGGGGAGAATACGAAAAATATTTTGAAAAGCCAGAAATATGAGGATTTTCAGAGGTGTTTTGATATCTTGAAAAAAAAAAAAGATGGAGCAAGTGTATAGATAGTGACGTTGATTATTTTGAGAAATTAAAAATAAAACATATTATATTTTTGTATTTTTTTAAATATTTAGCATTCCTCGAAATTATTGATCAAACTATGTATGTTTATATATGGAAATTATGCCAGTATTCTTGATTTATTTAAAAAAATGAAAGTCATCTCTCCCATCAAAACAAGACTAACTACGATACCTCGACTAATTGGCCATTCGAGACACGGTCTTCCAGTCCCACTCCAAAGGCCTCAACAAGCATACCGATCAAAATGCACTGTGGCAGTGAACAAAGTAAGCAGTATTACACCAGTACTGCAACACAAATGAGTATCCCCGGGTCCAAGGAGGAAGAAGGAGAGAGTTCAATAGAAAAGAAAAAAAAGGTTTGACAGAGGGAAGAGATTTCATGTTTATAATAATATAAAAATTACAAATAGAAAATAAGAGGTCAAAACAAGACGTCATCTATTGTTCGTCACCGCCAAGTAGCGGCCTCGGGTTGGTGGTAAAGCCACAACACTAGCTTTGGCAAACTGAGAAGAGCCCACCTGGAGACCATGGTTTCGGGCTATGGCCCTCGTCAGTCCAGTGCGGACATTAATTCATGAGATCTACAGGAGATCAAATGGAATCTTAATATGAATACACTTTTAACCAGTTATTGGCATACCCGAATTATTCCGGCTAGCCCTTTTTTCTCCTTATTTCCCCTGCAAATAAAACAATAAGACTTAGGTCTGAAAAACAACCCGGGTTGTCGTCGATATTTGTACGCTTTAAGAAAATATATATTCAAAAAATAAACACACTGCGTGACTATTGACATGCAACACAAAGAAGAGGAAGTCAGAAAGTTAAAACCCCAGCATACAGATAAACACTTCAACGCGAAAATAATGATCTTTGAGGAAAAGGGCTTTTCTTGATTGTGCAAATAAGGTTGCTGATGGCTTAGGCCATCTATCGGAATAAATATGAACTAATCGTTGATTTTTAATTATTCCAGAATTGGCCAAATGCTGTTTCTTGATTAATCAAGAAAATCTAACCACGTACGCGTTTCAGATTGTTGGCCCTCGTCAGTGTGATTTTAGTTGCACGATCAGGAAATGCCTTTTTTCTCAATTTATTCACTTAAGTACAAATTCACTTTTGTACTATTTTTCATCATTATCTTTATGACAAAATAATGGGCATACTACAGAGCGACAACCTTAACTCATTAGGTTGTAGGACCAAGGCGGACGGCGAATACACGAAGCAAGACGTCTAGGTACAGGGTTAGTGAAAGTACCGATGACTTACTGAGAGATGGCTCAACATCCCCTGTCAATCATTTGCCGACGTACAGACTTCGGTCTAGGTAGCCCACCATCCATTGGTGTCACTCATTTGCCACACTTCATCTTCTGACAGAGGCTGTGGCATTGTGTGCAAACTACGTCAAATCACGTCCTTAACGTGTTCCATGTGCTATCTAGAAAAGCGTCTGTACAAATTAATGAGCATTTTTTCGATTAGAGCAGTATTTAGTGGGACGTTTTCCAGTTAAGACAAGACATTGGGCATCACCGGAAGGTAGGAGAGTGTCATCGGCCGAAACACATCATTCACGTATTGATAACGCGTTGTCGCGCAGATATTCTGCCGGTGTAGGCCTGTCACCTCGTCGGTGCGACTCTCGTGTGCTGCGACTATCGTTGGAAATATAAATGTAACAAGACCGTCTCGTCTTAGCCCAATTTGACGATTGTTCAGACTTCCAGCGACCGCGTTAACAATGTCGCGGTTTCACCACACCGACTGGGATTGGCTGCAGAACTTCACTGTTTACCTTTCTCATCCTTAGGTACACTTTCCTTTAAGGGGCTGTGTGGCAATCGGAAAAATGCTTCTATAATTCACTTTCCCAGCATTGTAAACTCTCTTTTCCAAAATATTTATTAGTTTTTAAATTATTATTTTAGTTTTGCTTTTCACATGTGGTGTACTTACAGTAAAATAATTCGCCAACTTCTACCCACCATGATTATCATAGCCTGTAACACGTGTACTATAGATAATTTTAAAAATATATTTTATTGAAATATATAAAACACAGCTTCGCCAGTAGATTTTGAAAAAAAAATCGTTATAAAACTTCAAAATACAATTTCAACAAAATAATTGTAACCTGAAAATAATGCTATTTTTATATATTTAAATTAGAGTATTAAATTTAAACCATGTCTATATACAAAAAAGGTTAAAATTAAAAAGATAATGTGTAAAACATAAATAAGGTAGGTTTAAAGTGTTTGGTAAATAACGTTGAAAACACAATTTGGGAAAGTATTTATCTGGGAAGAGCAACAAACTCAGAAGTAAAATCGCAACGAATATTTCCAATATTGTATCGGCTCTCACAATTCCAACCAAAGCGGATTACATCTAAATAGATTGGTGAGTGCAGCAGCCAATCAATAACCTCCACGTGATTTGGACAGCTCCTTTATTGGACGCTTCCAAACCTTAAAATAAACTTTTCAATATTTGCCAAGACTTTTAATTGCATCTTTGTGTTACTTAAATTTGTCAAAGTTTGAATACGGAACTGTTAACGAATTCTAACGATAAAGAGAAGTCATTTTTTTCTAATTAATTCAAATTTATATAATAGAAATACTTAATTTTTATAATAGATTATTCCTTGCTTTTACACTTTTAAAAATCAATAAGGAATCTAGGGTTAAGTTTATTTTTACAATCTTTTATTTCTCGAGATTTTGGCTAATATGTTCCGTGATATATGGCCAACCCAAAAAATAAATAAACGTTTAGTTTATTTTTGTTCCACTAGATGACACTCTGCCATAGATATGCTCATGAGAGCCTGGTCAGGATATGCCTTTTTTTTGTTTTTTTAATATCAACACCTGACCTTTTTTTATATATATTTCTTTTTTATTTGATTTTGAAATATTTTTATTATGAAAAAAAAAAATAATAATAAAATAATTAATAAATGAAACTAAAAAGAAACTTATTCCTGGAAGCCTGATGTTTCGCCTTAATATTGACACAAAGGATTATTTTATTGATTCTTTCTTATTCTTCTTTTACTTATTTATTCATTGACTTAAGTTTTAATAGATAATTTCCTTTTGTTAATTGTCTATATTTTCAAGACACTGTGAGTTTCGTTTTCTTATGTATATTCTATTTTAAAAAAGGGTATCATTTAAGTCTTTAATGTGAGAGATAAGAGCAAAATATGACATAATACAAAGTTTTCAAAAATTTAAAAAAGGTGTTAATTATTTTTAATGAGGACTTTCACCTTTTTATAACAAATGAAAAATTAAATACGTAGAGATACTTGACTCCCTTGTGTGTGGAAACAAACAATTAAATGTATAAAGTCGGTATAAGATACATAGAATCCTCATTAAAAATACATTTCCTTACTAAAGTGGAATAATTTAATAAGTTATTTAATTATTTATAAAATTAAGTTTTGATGAAATTAATAAGGAATCTAGGGCTAGGTTTCTTTTTACGTTTTGTTTTTAATTTCTCTAGTTTTCGGGCTAAAATGTCCTTTAACACGGAGACCTAGAAGTATTGTCCAAGGTAGTCTAGTAGACATGACATCTGCCCGGTAAGCGGAATACTGTGGGTTCATTTTCCCATCCCTGGACACTTTATTTTCCCTTCTTCATTACTCTTCACAATTCATTATTTCATACTTCATCCCTAAGGATAGAAATAGTCGTTATTTCTCCTTAAAATAAATTACGATATTTCGTTCAAAAGAAACATTTGCGGTAAAACTTGTCAAACGTCGTTATACAATCATAAGCCCCATTTTATTATATTGTACATATATATGTGAAATAAAATAGAAAAAAGGGGTCAGGTATTGATATTAAAAATAAAAAAGGCATATCCTGACCAGAATGGATGGCTTTTCTTGATTTATCAAGAAAATAGGTTGGCTTAATATCAGGAAACAGACTAAATCAATGTTTAGTTGATTTCTGTTCACTGAACAGAATTTTAATACATATATATATATATTTTGATATTGATTTGATAAATATTGGCAAAATAAATATTTTATTAAATCCAATATATGCCTTTTTATTATCTAATATATATATATATTAAAAATAAAAAGGCATCTCCTGACCACGAGCACATGTGCTTTTTAGATGGCAGAGCGCCATCTAGTGGAGCAAAAATAAACTAAACGTTTATTTAGCTTGCTCTGTGATATTTGGCCAACCCAATTTCTTGATAAATCAAGAAAAGCCATCCACGACCGCGTTTCGCGCTGTTGGCGCTCGTCAGCGTGGAGTAGGCTGTAACCACTGCGACCAAAAATATTTTTTGGTCCCAATGGCTTCCCGAGAAATCAAGAAATGGGTATTTAAGGCCAAATTTGCGTAAAGACGCTTTACACATTAAAAAACAATAGAAAAATAAAAGATAAGTGGGTCAGGTGTTAATATTAAAAATAAAGAAGGCATCTCCTGACCACGAGCACATGTGCTTTTTAGATGGCAGAGCGCCATCTAGTGGAGCAAAAATAAACTAAACGTTTATTTAGCTTGCTCTGTGATATTTGGCTAACCCAATTTCTTGATAAATCAAGAAAAGCCATCCACTTATTTTTGCTCCACTAGATGGCGCTGTGCCATCTCAAAAGCACATGTGCTCGTGGTCAGGAGATGCCTTCTTTATTTTTAATATCAACACCTGACCCACTTATCTTTTATTTTTTTCTATTGTTTTTTTAATATATATATATATATTGTAGCGAATGTATGTAAGGTTTTCTTTTATGTTGGATGATTATTGGAATAAAGTTCTATGAAAAATTAAATATGAGAATAATAATTTTGAGATGTTTACAGCATATATATATATATTTTTTTTTTCGTATCATTTACCCCCGCTTTGATGCATTTATTCACGGAGAATAAATGACTTTAATTGAGAGATGTGAGCCTTTATAGGATCTCCTGTGGGATTTCTTGGTGGGTTGTCTTGATCCGTTGCAGAGAGTTCGTAAGTCACTTTAGACAATCTTCTCAAAACTTGGAATGGTCCTTCGTATTTGGAAGCTGTTTTAATTAGCCTCGGATCATTGTAGGGAATTCTTTTAAGAACTAGATCTCCAACTTTAAATTCAATGTCGGGATGCCTTGAATCATGTCTTCTTTTAGAAATATCACGATGATGTTGAGTTCTTTTTATAGCCAGTTTCCTAGCATCTTCTACCGAGGTTGAGGGGTTATCAGCAAATTGTGGCTGCACATTGTAACCAAAAAGTAGAAAAGATGGCGGAAAACCTGTTACGTCATGAGGGGTGTTGTTGTAGTCAGTAATGACCTTGGGCAAAAGTGTGCTCCATTTCACTTTCGGTTTATCAAGCAAGGCCGCTCTTAACTTGGTCATGATTGTTCCGTTAACCTTTTCGCACATTCCATTACTCTGGGGGTGGTATGGTGTGGTGAAAGTTTGTTTGATGTTATGAACTTTCAAACACCTTTTGAATTCCTTGGAATTAAAGTTCTTTCCGTTGTCAGTGATAATATGTTTTATGGGTAGCGAGACTTGAAGGATTCTGTTGAAACATTGTAGCGTTGCTTGAGCTGTGTTTTTGATAGTAGGAAATGCCCAAACATATCTTGTAAGATGATCAATGAACACATGGATGTACTTGTGCTTTGTCTTTTCAGCTGATGTTCCCATAACTATTGTATATGCACTTATTACTTGAGCTGGTTGTAATTCTGTGTCTGGAATTATTAGTTGTCCTAGAGTTGGTTGGTTAGATGATTTGGTCAGTTGACATGTCTTGCATGATCTCACATAAGATTTAATTTCCTGTACCATGTCTGACCACCAAAATAAAGGAACTATTAATTTGACTGTCTTGTTCATGGATGGGTGACTCATGTTATCATGATATTCCTTCAGAATATGTTCTTTAAAGAAGCAGGCACCACAGCCCTGAGTAGTCCTCTCTTCTTGACCATCACTGTGTTTTGATGATCTTGAGGATCTTCAATGAAGCTGAGATCTGCCTGTCTTTGATGTTGTTGAAGCTCGAAAATGGAAATACTTAGTACTGGGGCTCTTGATAATGCATCTTCATGAGTCAGTTTGTTTCCAGATCTGTGTGTGATTGCAAAGGTTTTAGTTGATAAATTGACTAGCCACCTGAAAAATTTAGATTTTGGATTTTTGAGATTGAGTAGCCACTGTAAGGCTGAGTGATCCATAATAACTTGGAAGGGCTTGTTTTCCTGTAATAATTTATTCAACTCATCCTGGTTAGGTTTTTGCAAATGATTAAAGGTTGTGCAAACAAGTGCCAATTCTGCTGATTGCTTAGTGTACACTGTTTTATCTTTAGTGTCAACAATAAGTTCAAAGTCTTCTGCAATATCCAAGCCAATGAGTAGCTGGAATTTTAAATTAGGTATTACATGAAGTTTGACCTTTCTAGTTTTATTATGAATTTGCAAATTTACATGTACATATCCCAAAGTTTTGGTTAATGAGTTAGCTTGTTGAATTTGCATGGGAGAATCTATTAAAGGATGTAAATTCAAACCATTTATTAAATTTTGACTTATTAAAGATACGGTAGCACCTGTGTCCATGAAGGCTTGTAAAGGATGTTTGTTGACACAAATTTTAAAGTCTATCAATTTATAAGGAGGATTGTTAGTTGATAAGCAAGCTACTTTGTTTGTTTCATTACTTGTGGTTGATTCGGTGACTGTTGTAATGAATTGTTTTGGTTGTGTATTTTTAGATGATCTCTCTGTTTTATAATTTGGGTCATAATCAGGACATTCATTCAACCAATGTTTCCTTTAATTCTTTTCTTTATGCAAATTGGGCAAAAAAATGGGCAATTTGAAGCTGATCTTTCCTGTTGAGATAGAGTGCATACTTTGGGTTTAAACAAATTTCTTAGCTTACTTTGTTGCCTGTTATGCTGAACAGAAAGTGCAACTTGTATCCATTTGGTTGGATCTGCAGGTTGTGCTGCTGCAAACACATCCCTCCAACTCAAAGGTAGCTCATCTCTTAGTAGCTGTATTTTCTCTTCCCTTTTCAAGGATGTTTGATTCAGTAAGTCCATTTTTTTTAAATAAGTCTCCACAGTTTCACTTGCAAGGAGCTTTCTGGTAGATGCTAATACAATGGGACTATATGTGCAAGGCTTAAATCTGGCATTGAGTTTATCTTTTACAGTTTCCCATTTTTTTATATGTGCATTTGTAAGAATTTCATCAGCAAAAAATTTTAAGGCTTCATCTGCTAAATAGTAGATAAGATTGTGTATTTTTCTTCATCGTTTGCTTTTAAATTTTCTACTTCATACAACTTAATCCAACTTTCAATTTTTATATTATTCTTACTGCCAGAATATTTTTCAAATCTATGTATATTTGCCATTATAAAAATAAAGATGTTTCTAAATGAGTTATTTAAATTTGAAATAAATAATCTTTTGATTAAAAATTTACCTTTTCAATTTTCTTTCGTATCCTTTCGACTGCGCCAAGTATGTAGCGGATGTATGTAAGTTTTTCTTTTATAGCTATTTTTAATGTAAAGGAAATAAAAAAATCAAGAATGTATGTCTCGTTAGTTTTTATTTTTAACCAACGTCTGCTTTTTCTTACAAAGTCCTCATGTTTATTTATTTATTTATTTATGCTTATGAGGTGATACAGCAGCGTATTTACAATTAGAGAGGAGACAAAGTCCTCATGTAAACAATGCTAAGTGATGATGATTAGTGGAATGAAGTTCTATGAAAAATTAAATATGAGAATAATAATTTTGAGATGTTTACAGCATATATATATATATATAAAATAATAATATATATATATATTAAAAAACGAAATAAAAAAATAAAAGATAAAAAGATCAGGTGTTGAAATCAATATAAAAAATGGCATATCCTGACCAGGAGCACATGTGCTTTACAGAAGGCAGAGCGCCATCTGGTGGAACAGAAATCAACTAAACATTGATTTAGCCTGTTCCCTGATAGGGAATGGATTGCCCAATTCGTGGATGGCTTTTCTTGATTTATCAAGAAATTGGGTTGGCCAAATATCAGGGAACAGGCTAAATCAATGTTTAGTTGATTTCTGTTCCACCAGATGGCGCTCTGCCTTCTGTAAAGCACATGTGCTCCTGGTCAGGATATGCCATTTTTTATATTGATTTCAACACCTGATCTTTTTATCTTTTATTTTTTTATTTCGTTTTTTAATGTGCTAAGCGTATTTACGCAAGTTTGGCCTTAAATACCCATTTCTTGGTTTTTCAGGAAGCCATTGGGATCAAAAAATCTTTTTTGGTCTCAATGGTTCAGCCTACTCCACGCTGACGAGCGCCAAAAAGCGCGAAACGCGTTCGTGGATGGCTTTTCTTGATTTATCAAGAAATTGGGTTGGCCAAATATCAGGGAACAGGCTAAATCAATGTTTAGTTGATTTCTGTTCCACCAGATGGCGCTCTGCCTTCTGTAAAGCACATGTGCTCCTGGTCAGGATATGCCATTTTTTATATTGATTTCAACACCTGATCTTTTTATCTTTTATTTTTTATTTCGCTTTTTAATGTGCTAAGCGTATTTACGCAAGTTTGGCCTTAAATAC